CGAGCTAAGTGAACTACAAGTCGCTCTCTGAGCCCAAGGGCCAAAATGCCGAGCTAACGATGACCTCGACACTATAAGACCCAATTGCCTCTTCGGCATGGGCAAACTCTAGGAGGGGGTGGACCGTAGTCGCTTCCAGAGCCTAAGGGCCAAAATGCCGAGCTAACGATGACCTCGGCCCTATAAGACCCAGTCGTCTCTTCGGCATGGGCAGACTCTAGGAGGGAGTGACTAAGTCACTCCCCCGAACCAAAGGGCTAAAACGCTGAGCTAACCAAGGGCCTCGGCACTGCAGTGCATAGTATGCCAAGGAAGCAAGCAGCTCGGGTATGGACCCTACGGCGCTTAGCCCACCTCGGCATACAACGGGTTGGACCCGCTAGGGACAACCAACAAGCCAAGTATTGGAAGACAATTCGGGCATATGCCTTACTATGTCACTCACCTCGGTGTACGTTATAAAAACCACCCCTACAAGGTACTAGGAGACAGTTCGGGGAGGCGATAGATGAAAAACCCCACTTCGGACACTCAACAGTTCGGATAAAGCAGTCACTCTAGCAAAAGTATAAACTGCGCAGTACTTAGCAAAAAAGCGAAATTCATTGATTGAGAGTTCCATACAACAAGCTCGGTAAAAAAGAAAAAAAAAAAGAAACTAAAACTGAGCTCACAGGCTCAAGGTACAAGGACTACACAAACTATTTGGGGGACTGGTCATTTTTACTCGGGACCTCCTTAGGAGCTTCTGCCAGGTCGGTGGCATCTGCCTCTTCGTCACCACTCTCCTCTTTAGAATCCGGGTCCTCTGTGGCCTGGCGGGCTATCTCGTTCGTGATCCGCGAAGTGGTGGTGGCGTTCGTGTCTTCTTGTCCAGTATGTGTGCCTTATCAACCACCTACTAAGCTTGAAGCCCTTACGATAGACCTTCGTCAGCACGGCGTCAAACTTGTCCGATCTGACATAGTCTAGGGTGGCCTTAACCTTGGTCTCCTCTATGGCCTGGTTGAAGATCTCAGTTTTCTCCTCAATATCGGCCTTGAGGAACTCCACCTCATGCTTCAGGACCCCTTTATCCTCCTTAAGGCCTTTCACCTCGAGCTCTAAGGCCTCCTTGTCTGCCCGGAGGACGTTCAGTTCGCTCCTCAGCCCATCCCTCTCGCACGCCAACTCTTCCTTCTCCACCAGCAGTGCCCCTATGAAGTTCTTCTGGGCTGTAGCATCGCTCTCCAGCCGATGGATTTGACAGCAAGCTGCCCTCATATCGGAGTGGGCTGCGCGAGCTGAGTCTTCGGCAGCCAGAGCCCTTTTCAGGTACCTTTTAGACTGAAGGGTCAGGGCGTGCACGACGGAGTTCACCTGACAAGAGAAGGTCGATTAGCACCAGAGAGGCAGTGGCTAAAAAAAATGAGAAGACAGGGGGACTCTTTGAAGTGATAGAACTTACCTCCATTGAGTGGGTGGCATCCCGGGCTCCGAGCTGAGCAAGAGTGAGGTCGGCCCAGTCGGAGACCTCTTCGGCGTAGACAGCCCTCTTACTCTTCCGAAGGCTGCACCGTGGGATCAGAATGCTCCGGGCTCCCTCTTGACTCCCTGAGCTAGAAATTGCCGTCTCAGCTGCGCGAACGGGCTCAGTGGAGGCTTCAACAGTTGCATTAGTGGCCTCGGTGGCGACCTCGGGCTCCACAACTGCCCTAGGAAAGGGCTCTGCCGCCGTCTCAGGCTCCCGAGGTGGCAAGATCTCCTCCAAGTCAATGATCGGAGGGGCATCAGGAAGCTCGAGCTCAGAAGTAGGGGCCTGCGGGGGCTCGGGCTCAGAGGTGGGGAGTTGTGGAGACTCGACCCGAGCTCTCTTGGCAGCTTGCTTCTTTCTCCCTTTCATTTGGCGGAAAAGCCTCTCCCCCTTAAGCTTMTCTTCTTCCATGGGTCCTACAACATAGCTCGACATTAGTAATCTCGAAAGTACTAGCTATTTAAGCAAGGTACAAAGTAAGACAACCTACCCGGGCTCAAGCCGGCTTGTATGAGCTTGCTCTCGGTGATATAATCCTTGTAATTAAACCCGAGCTCAGCCCATGACTGGAGCGTCTCCCTTGTCTTCTTGTCCAGTATGACATCGGGGTCCTGAATAGCCGCCCTCCAATGAGTGGGGAAGGGCCACCCCGCGGTGTTCCGGACTACAAAGTAGTCCTGCTTCCAGGCCGGAACTTTGCTAGGAAGCTTGTGTAGTAACTTGAAGCCCGGGCGGGTGGACAGGTAGTAGAACCGCCTGTGCTCGAGGAGAACGCTTGAAGCGCTCTTCTTTATTAACAAGATTGAGCAAAAAATATCTAAGTCTATGGGGAGGGCGTAGTCAAAGCAGAGGGAGATGGTCTAGACCACGTTATGGGTGGAGTTTGGGTGGAGCTGGTCTAGGGCGATGTTGAAATGTTTTAAGACCTCTACGATGAGAGGATGAAGAGGAAGGCGGAGCCCGGCTATGAGCTGCTCCCTAAAGATCACGATCTCGTCAGGACCGTGCTCCCAAGGGAAGTTACCCGCGAACAAGCTGTAAGTGTACTCATTGGGGAGATTGTACTGCCGGATAAGGTACCGGAGTCTCTCCAGGGTCATGATGGAAGGACCGAACTTATCTAGCATCCGACCTCGGTGAGAGGTGGATGCCAGATTACCCGAGGCCTTTTGCGCCTCATGAGAAGACTGGACTTCGGTTGGACCACCCTGAGTCGAGGTACCCACCTCAGGCTCATCCAGTTGACTATCGATACTAGACATGGTAATAGAAAGAAACGAACTAGAAGAAATAAGGAAACTGAAAGAAAAGCTAAGGGGACTCACCAAGGAAAAGCAATCGAACTGGGGAGAATTGACCTGAGCTGGAGACCTTAGATGCGAGCTCTTGACGAATGCTGAGAGCTTATGGCGAGAGAAAAATGACCAAGACCCCCACTATTTATAGCCACTATGCTCAGGCATCAATGGTCAAGATCAAGACGATCTGCCGGCTCTCAAGAAAACCGGCTACGCGACCCCCGAGGCGAAATCGGTTTAGCACATTTTTTGACGTCCGCGGAGTCCATAGATCGCGTGACGTCCGCGCGTAGACTGTACGCGATCCAGGTTGCTCTTGATTGAGCCGAGCAGTGAACTGGTCCGACCAATGAGCTGCCTGACAAAAAGGCCTGAGCTCCGAGCCAAATCCATCCGACGCACCGCGAACTCCCCACGCTGGGTCAGAACCCCCAACACGGGGAGTCGAGGGCAATTGATGGGGGGTGATTTGGCCTGAACTCGTAGCACAGGGACACGTGGACATGACCTGGCATAAGTGACAACTCAGCGTGACGGCTTGGCCATAACTCGGCATAACGAACTCGCCGGAGCCCGGCCGGGCAACTCGGTGGATGTGGCAACTCGCCGGGAAGTAACACCCAGCTTACCCGAATTCTCTGTAAGGGTGGAGCACCCCGAGCTCCCTCCAAGCAAGGAGTCCCGAGCTCCTCTTAAGACCCAAGCTCCTCCCAATGAGCCCCGAGCTCTTCCTTCTTGAGAAGGGAACACCCTGACCTGCAGCTAGGTATCCCGAAGTGGAAACACTTCGAGTCAGCACCATTAACACTCCTGTCCATACTTACCTAAGGTTCGCCTCAAGCATATGCACCTCGGCGTACCCCCAGCACCCCGGCGTAAGGTAGCTTGGACCAAGTTAGCTCAATGCAAAGTAGCTCGGCAACCTGCAGGAAAGATCTACCTGACAATAGTACCTGCCGAATCTGGAGGTTGCGCCCACGTCTCTTGTCAGGCGGCATCGTGCCTGCCACTTCTGCCAAATGTGGCATGCCTGACAGATCCGTACCCTGCAATGGCTGCCCGCATCCGCCACCTCGACTCAGGCGGTTACGCCTGATTTGAGAGATCCCCAATATAAAAAGACCCCGACCCTCGAGGAGCCAAGGTACTGAACTTGCGTCATCTCACTCTTAGCTCTCTCTTTGTATTCTTTAGTTCTCTCAGAGTTCTAACTTAAGCATCGGAGTGTTCCCGCCGGGTGAGCTCCCCGGGAATTCTTCACCTTCCTCTTCGTTTCAGGCACCGTTCGTCCCCAGTTAGGAGCCAGGTTTTCGCCAGCTCGAAGTGTCCGGATTGCACAGCATCACCATCTATTGACATGCCAAATTATATTCAAACCCAAATGGTCCCTTAGATTTAGCACTATGGACATGGTAGGGTTTAAGTGTTTGCCTTTTATCTAGCCATACCAAGAGCTGCAAACATGGTGGTCCGTAATAATAATATAGCTACATATTCTCTTTCTTTCTATCTGTTGACTGTTGTATTCATGCATGCTTGGTCGAGAGTCCTTGATATTATATTTTTTGAGTTGAATAAATTTGGCCTTATTAGGCTTCAAACAGAGGGTCGGTGTCTATCACAAATGAAAGTTCAAGCTTAAGTGTCACTACCCTATAGTATAATTAAGGTGGCACTCTCTAATTTATCCTTAAAAAAACACAAAAAACCTTGATTGGCCCCTCATTTCCCCATCCCTCCTCATGCCAAAGGAATTAAAAATAACATTTAATATAAAATTTATGCTTTAATGAATATTGTTGAAGAGGGCCAACACTGTTTTGACACCTGTTTTCTGCTGACTTTGCATGACCACCTTTAATTTAATTAATGTGGCCATAACTATTGTCTTATATTTTGGTTAAACAGAAAATTCATTTAATTTAAACCCCTACTTTGTTAATTAGGAGAGCCAGAAGGGGTTGAAAATTTTAGGTAGGGTTTGATGGAAGAATGGTATTATTTTATTAGAGGGGATTAAGACCCAATAGGATTTTGTTTTGAATTCTTGTATATAATATATAATTTAATTTAAAATTAAATAACCCATGTGTGAGAAATGAGGGGCTAAGGAGGCCAGCATTGAGGTGATTGGACTCTTGGCTCTCTCTATAAAATATAGATATAGATTTATGGACCATGGTTAATTTTGTGCTGTCTTCTCTTGGCAAGTTTCTATCATTTCTCTGCAATGGGTACAAAGGAACTTGAAGTTTCTTCCCTCTCCTCAACCAGGTCAAGTTCCTCTCCTTGTCTCTCCACAATCAAGTGACCTCTCTCTCTCTCTCTCCCTCTCTCTCTATCTCTCTCTCTCTCTCTCTCTCTCTAACAATGAGTTATCCTCTATGTATCCAACTTCTGCTATGTGACATGAGATAATTTGGAGCTTGCAGATGGTGGTCCGAGGATACTATTGCTGTTGTCACCGGAGCAAACAAGGGGATTGGTTTTGCAATTGTTAAGCAGCTTGCAGAGCTAGGATTAACTGTGATCCTGACATCTAGAGATGTATCTAGGGGTCAACAAGCAGTCCACTCACTCAGAGCTCAAGGACTTGATGTGCTATTCTGTCAACTGGATATATCAGATCCTGCTTCAATCGATATCTTCGTTTCATGGTTGAAAGAAGAGTTTGGAGGACTGGATATTCTCGTAAGTAGAATGCTCTCTGCACAAGTGAATCTTGTCTTCACAAGCCCATCTATTCATTTTAGCTAATTGGGGAATGGTAACATGTCTTGGAGGAGAAGAGAAGCTTAAGCTTTCTCTCTTTTTAAACCAAATTAACAGCCTGATGATAATATGCCCACAGCTAATTGCAAGGGGTGATAGATGAGTAGTCTTCGTCTGGTAGCTTTGGTTCTTCTGTTCTCCTTTGTTATTGGTTCTGACTTTGTGTCTCTGATCACTAGCAATCCTTTGAAACACAGGAGGGGTGGGGATGGGGATGGGGGAGGGATTAAGTACTGAAACGTGGACAAACTCAAAAGGGTGGCTGCACTTTTTTTCATTCTCTTGTTTAATTTTGAACAGTTCAAGTAAATAACAAGTTTGTTTAACAGACAGCAAAGCTGGACCAAAGATCATCAGTTCTATAAAACAAATTAAAAACGTAAATCATGCTTATGGGGATTGGTGCTGGGACTTTTTTTTAGGGGCGGGTGGGATTTGATTAGATTAATTGTAATTAAGATGTAGAGTTGAAACTCCTAAATAAGCATATTTCCTTGTTTAGCTAACTTTGAATGCTCAAGGCCTATTTGGGAGGCCTTCAGTTTTCATTGAGCTGCTTTCACTGAGACGTTTTGAGCAAGTTACTAGAAGAAGCTTCACCGGAAAGCCTTTTTTTTGGTTGAATATATGATAATAGTCTGTTTGGGCATTCTGGGTTTTTCAATGGGGCCGGCCTTGTAAAGTCAGAAGCCACTGTATGATAGCTCTCACAGGTGGACCCTATATTGACAGCCAATTAAAGTTATGTTGGTGATGAATAATCTGGAAAGCAGGCCTAAAATGTTATCGTTGAGCCAAAAAAAAAAAGATTTTCCGGTGTAGTTTCTTCCAACCGGCTCAGTGAAAGAAGCTAATTGAATCAAAACTAAAACCCTTCCCAAGTTTTCTGTGGGGTTTCTGACCATAAAGATCAGATTCCTTCTTTGAGAGAGCATGCTGAAACAGTAATCAGGACCGAGTTTTGTAATATTAGCAGTAGAACAGAACTCTGGTTAATTAAAAAAGAAACACATATATATCCACACAGGTAAACAATGCGGCAGTGTCATTCAATAGGATCGGTGAGAACTCAGTGGAGCATGCTGAAACAGTAATCAAGACCAACTTCTATGGGCCAAAGCTGCTGACAGAGGCTCTTCTACCATTGTTTCGTCGATCAGCTTCCATAAGCCGGATACTGAACGTTAGCTCACGACTGGGTTTATTAAATGTAAGTGATGGATGAAGCCCTGGCCTTGATGCAATAGAATGTTGAGAATATATATCTCTACACTACAGCCCAGTAATTAGCAGTACTTACGCTTTTGTTGGTTCCTTGTAGAAGGTAAGAAACCCTCAAGTACGAGAGCTTCTGCAAGATGAAGAAGGGCTTTCAGAGGAACGCGTGGAGTCCATGGTGAGACAGTTCCTCAAAGATGTGAGAAGTGGGACATGGGAAGACCAAGGCTGGCCTGTAAACTGGACTGACTACTCTGTGTCCAAGCTTGCTTTGAATGCTTATTCTAGGCTTCAGGCAAAGCGCCATGAGGGGAGAGGTATGAGCGTGAACTGCTTCTGTCCGGGATTCACTAGGACGTCCATGACTCGTGGCAAGGGATATCGCACGGCCGAGGAGGCCGCCGGAGTTGCCACCAGGCTTGTCCTTCTCCCACCTGATAAGCTTCCGACCGGGAACTTCTTCATTGAAAGTAACCCTTCCATATATTCAAAGCTGTAGCTAGCACTACTGTGAGTGAATGAATAATATTCATTGTTGGTTTCAAGTGGGGACGACAGGACAGAAGCCATTAATTCACATATGAGGCATGTAGCTCCCTTCTCTTTCCATATTTTTGGGAAATGAGGATGAAGATATCACACATGTAAACGATTAATGTTCTCAATCAGTATTTTACAGTTTCACGCAAAGAACAAACCATGTGGAAAGAAAGGTGGGGCAGTTGGGTTGAAGAATAATTTCACATGGAAGGATAAACTTTTATTTGATTAGAAAACAATGTTCTATATATGCTAGAGAATAACTACAACCAAGAGCCACGAACTAGGGCTGAGATATACATATTATATGGTCATTTGATTCTTAACATTTAATTAATTTGTGGTCCAATGTACGAGATTTCCTTTTTCCTGATGCATAAGAGCACCTGCAGGCCACTTCGTCCAGCTCAACTGGGGCACAATCAACCACACCTGCAGGCCACTTAGTCATTGGGTGTCTCTTATATCATGGACAATATGTATATCTCACCCATATGAGACCAAAAGGACAAAGTGATTTCAAAACAAAGAAACCCCTTTTTTAAGGGTAAATTATAAAGAGCCCCTTGTATTATAGGATCGGTGACAATTATCTCCCTGAATTTTCATTTGCAACAAAGATCCCCTAAACTTTCACTTTGTAACAAATGTTCCCTTCTATTAGAGTTTGAAAATGATTCTCATTCAGTTCTTTAAAATTTTTTAAATCCTCGGACTATCTTTTTCTTACTTATTTAAATGACCTATGAATCTATTAGTTTTTTTAATATAATATTAAAATCCTCTCGGTTGCTTTAATAGATCCTTGTAGATTTCTGGTTAGACTCAATATTCAAATGAAATGATAGAAGTTTATTTCTGATAGATATAAATTTAAGGTTTTGTTTGGTTTTTCTTGGCTTATTGGAGAAAGGAGCAGATATTTTTTATATTTTAAGATGAAGAGAGACATTCATATTAGTGAGATACTGAAATGAAACAAGAATTTAGGGAAACTAGCTTGCTTTTCTATATATGTGAATTGATTCTTGTTATTTTAGCTGGTTTCATTTAGGCCCCGTTCACTTTTTGGTAAATTACTTATCCAGGTAAATGCATTTACCCATGTTCTTTTATTTCCTAGGTAAATAAGGCAATGGCCATTTTAGTCATAAAAATTCATTAGTAAAATGGGCATTTTTGTCCCGTTCAAGTGTTGCCAACTTTCCCCCTATGTGGGAAAGTTATTCACCCATCTGGGTATCACTTTCCTGGGTAAGTAGTGTCTAGGAAAATAAACTTTGACCAACTTTCCCCCCTCTCAAAATCCAAAACAAGAACGCCCCCTTAAAGAAAATGGATGTACTTTAGGGTCAATTAAGGTTTAAGAGAAAATGGTGAGAAAAATAAAATAAGGAATGTTTAGGTGGGTACTAATAATCCATCATCTAACTGACCAGTCAGAACGGGTATTTATGACAAAGTGAAAGCTCAGAGGGATCATTGTCACAAGTGAAAGTTCAAGGCAGTAATTATCAATGGCCTCATAGTATAGGGGGTCTTTTTTAAATGGATTTTTGGTTCTAGTGACCCATGAACTTTGGGAAAAGGCCAATTTTGACCTTAAACTTCAAAAAATGTCATTTTCAACCTTGAACTATTGAGAAAAGGCCAAAATGGATGATGTTACAGACGTCGTTCACGGTTCTATTAGAAAAATAATAAAATAATAAGCCTCACTGATGAGGCATTGGTCAAGTCAAAATATTAATTATAGGTGGGTTCCACGATTTGGTTACATGTGACCAAGGATAAAACAAAAATAATTATTTTTATTTAATAATTAATTAATAAAAATATTAATTATAGGTGGATTCCACCCATTTATTCACAGGCAGGTGCACTTATTCATATCTCTCCCTCAAATAATTATTTTATTTGACAATTAATAAAATTAATTATAAGTGAATCCCACTTAAAATTCTCACTTGTTCATCTCTCTCTTTCCTTCTTCTAGGTTGTGCTGTTGTATGGCCTCACTGTTGCCCTAATCCGTTTGTGTTGCGTAGACAAGGACTATTCTCAAGATTATTGGAATTAAATCAATTGGCTGATGGTAGAAGGTGGGTGGGGCGCCAGAAATCAATGAATTGAGCTCCTAAGTACCTTTTTCTAGTGCTCTTGCTCCATTGGAGAAACTGTCACCTTCCTCTTTATACTATCTTCTTCTTCTTCACCCTTGTATGTAGTACCCATCGCCCCATCGGAGCAAGAAATGTCGACAGATGATTGCCAAAATATCACGTACGTCCACCTCTCACGAGTCACGAGCACCTCGATTAGGGTTTGAAGCTGCTACTACTACTACTGCGTCTCTTAATTGAAGAACATTGATGATTGAGATTGGTCCGTGGCTCTCGAAGGGTCAGTGGTAGTAGTAGAGACGAAGGAGAGAGAGATAGAGGTGAACAAGTGAGACCCATCTATAATTAATATTTTATTAATTAATTATTAAACAAAAATAATTATTTGAGAGAAAAAAAAATGTGAATAAGTAGCCCCTCCTATTCTGCTAGTAGCCCCTTCCCCCCCTCCAAATCGCATCCTATCCGTGAATTTCTTATCAACCCACTATGGTGGGGGTTAGATTTCTGTGGTGGACTAAACTATAAAAACCTCTTAATATTTTTATCAATTAATTATTAAATAAATAATTATTCTTGTTTTATTCTTGATCATATGTGAACGAGTGGGAATATTAAGTGTGATCCACCTACAATTTCCTAGATTTATTTTGACTTGATCAGTGTAGGGGGTGTTCACGATTTGGTTAATTGAATTGTGGGCTTATTTTTGGAATCGAACTGGTATCAATGGTTCTAGAAAACCGAACCAAAGCCAATGAGTTAACTGATTGACCGATTCAGTTAACCATCGATTTGGTTCGTTTGTTTTTCGGTTTTTTTATATTTATAATATATTATAAAATATATAAAGATATAATTAAAATCAGAAATATATATAAAATATTATATTTTAAATAATAAATAATATATTATATATTATAAATATATATATATATATATATTTATATATAATACATATTTATTAATTTATAATGTATAAAAAATATAATATACATAAATATATCTAAAATATATAGAATTATATATATACCGATCGATTCAATTAACTACCAGTTTTCTATATTGGTTAGCCAAAACCAAAGCCATACTTTCAGTTTTTTAAAAATATCAAATTGAAATCGAAACGACAGTTAACCGGATTTTTCATGGAATGGTGAAGACGTCCGTTTTGGCCTTAGATTGGTTTTTTATCCATAGTTAAAGATCCAAAATAGGTTTTTGTTTTTTTCTTTTTAAAGGGTCTGGAGTCAAAATTCCTTTTCTTTTAATTTAAAAAAAAAAAAAAAAAAGAGAAGTCACTACATCAGATTGGACAGGTAATGGTCTGACAATCTGAAATTATGGTTCTGCTAAGTCGTTGGACAACTAATTGCAGTTAAGAGTTTTCTTGTAAGACTTTCCCATTCTGAACTCCAATCCATCCCTTTGGCGTGTGACCCTGGTACGGGCTGTCTTTTTTTGGGGGGACCGAAAAGACTAAAAAACATCGGTTGAAATTAATGTTGAACTGGTCCTAGTGTGTTTGATTGATATGATAGAATTTAGGGCCCGTTTGACAAAAGCCCAAGATGCTGAACTGAAACGTCATCGTTTTGTGTTTTAGTAAATAGGATTTTTACGAGGTTGTGCCCTTCTTAGCTCTTTAATGACTAAAGCTTAAATTGGGTACATCAATATATCCTTAAATTTTATAATAGAAAAATCAATAAGTCTTTCAATTTAACTACTTCAGTCATTATCAAAAATAACAAGTCGAAGAGCTTACTATTAACCATCTCCTTTTTGAATGCGAAATGGTCCAACCAATCTGGTTTGGAGTCAATTTTAGGGATGGAACCGGATTCAGTTAGTCAATGTGATTTTATTGGCTGGCTTGAACAATGTGCTAAGTTTAAGATTGATTCCTTGTTTGCATTAAGGACCATCACTTTGTGGCATGTTTGGAAGATACCAAATAAAATTATTTTTGAGGGCAAGGTCTTCTCTCAGGTCTAATATCAGAAATTTTGTGATTTTGCTCCTTCAAAGATAGTAGGGGTGATTCTTCTATTCATGCTTGGCCTAGGCTCGGGCCCTGGCCTATATCAGGCCCAAAACTTTGTAAGTTGGGCTTGGGCCCAATACTCTAAGCCTGGCCTGACCCATAATATTATATCATATTCTGGCTGGAATCTTATATTTGTTCTCTTTTTGAGTATGTTATGTAATATAAAGTATTATGTATATTTAATATAGTGTAGACTGTACTTAATGTCATGGGCTCAGGCTTGGGCTATAGTCCTGATCATAGGTGCTAATCCTAGTCCAGCCCAGCCCATGATCACCCCTAATCTATATGTTAATTGGGTCTCTCTCTCTCCATTTATGACACTCCATGTGATTGATTTGACTATGGTGAATGTCCAACATTGGAGCAGAAGGTGGAGGTCTGGACCACTGGAGTAAAAGATGGTGAGTGGACTTTGTTTGATAAAAAAGAATGAGCCTTAGGGCTTAAAAAAGGGTCTTAAGGATAAGGGGTTTTCACAAGAAAGTGATACCCATGTGATGATGCGACTTCTAGTATAAATAAATTGAAATCGTCCTGATGTTCAATGTGACAGAATTAATTAAGAGAAGGCACTTGACTTCTCCTTCAACTTTGATAACTGAGGATACCCATTTCTCCACATTCTAATTTGAATTTGATCCAGTCAGGATTGGATGAAATATGATGGATCCACCCCTTTCCGATATGATTCGATTTAATTCAATTTAACGCCTTGTTTGGTTTGCGGAAATAGGGGTTTAGAATTGGAATATTCTGGTTCCAATTGTTTGGTTGGATAAAATTGGAATTATATTCCTATTTATATTAGAATGGCATTCCCCTATTTGAGAGAATGGCTATTTTTTGTCCTTCTCTTGGGAATGAAATTCCATTCCTACTGATTTTAATTTCCATTTTCATTTCTGTTTGAATCAAACATACTATGGGAATGGACCATTCTGATCCCGATTCCGGCAGATTTCGATTTT